CCCTCACTTATTCCTAGTTCCATGATGAGACAGGATTCTAGAAACTTGGAGCCAGCATGCGCAAGGTATTACCCTAGAAAAGCCACACATCTCACACAAGCACTGCAGGGGACAGTTCGGGCGTGCGGTGGGGGGGTCAGAGCACCTGAGTCATGGTAACTTGGTGCTGGCTAAAATCATGTCATTCCTCAGCACAGATCTTACGCAGGAACAATGGAGAAATGGCAGAGACTCTGTCTTTATTCCAACAAGGAGTTTGTCCTCCCAAGATTTGTGGGATGCCACCAGAGGAATCCTTAGAGCGACACTTCCTATGATAGGAAAGATGGGTCTCAAACCAGCCATCTCAACTTCTGCCTTAAGAAATTAGCAAACTAAACCAAGCTGGAAACAACTGAAATGGCCATCAGCGAGTTGATGAAGTGTGGCATGTCTACACAGTGAGGTGCTGCACAGCTCGGGGAGAGGGAGAGCTGGCGATATAAGAAACAGCACAGATAAATCTTGCAATATTTATTCCGTGTGTGGGAAGCCAGACAGAAAAGAATATACACTGTGCATTTTCACACATAAACACTGGATAATATGATGCCCCCAGCAGCACAGTTCAGCAGTCTGAGGTCAGGGAGGGCCAGGCAGGAGATTCAAAAGTGCCCCAGGGCAACTTTTGGATGCGGTTGTCCTTTTGTCTTTATTTATGCTTGTGTTGATTGTGATGTTTTCATGGTTGTGTAAATGTCTAACTGTGTACAATTGCACAGTTTGAATGTGCAGTCTGTCATATGTCAGCCATGCCTCTGCAAGACCGTTATACCACATGAAATTTGTCCCAGGTGGCAGCGGCCTGCAGGTTCCCAGGGTCCATCCGAGACACAGCACTGGGCTCTGCTGTTGTCACATGGGTCTTCGCAGTGGCCGTAGCCAGGCCAACCCTGGTGACAGGAGCCCATTCTCGGTCAGTCAAATCTTCCTCCATTTCCCCGGCTTCCGGCCCTGAATTTCCTAACACTCTTCTTCCTGGCCCAGATAAGTTAGCCAAGTCCTTTGCCTCTCCCCAGGCACACTCGAGCTCCTCCTCTTCTACTCGGTGGGCGGCCACCTGCAGGTCTGCAACTGGGGAGCCTTGAGAGGCTGAGCTGACTCTAAACTCCCTTCCTGACCTGCAGCAAAGAAGGGCCTCGCACTGGGCCATGGGCTGGAGTGATGAGAGCCGCAAGCAACAGGGTAGGGCTCATGGTTCTGACCTCCTCACCACGCAGGTTGCCTGAAAGCCTTGACCCTTCCAGGGCTGGACGCTGGCATTTACATTTAATGTGGTTATTTATGCATTCAGGCCCGAGTTTATCACCCACAGCCTTCTTTATTGCCTCTCTTGTTCTTAGTTCCCCTTTTCCTGTACATTTGCTTTCTTCTGGATCAATATTTGCTTCATTTTGTTGGCCTGTTAACTACGCTGCTTCACTGTGGAATGTGGTGGCGACTTCAGAAGGCAGCACATACCTTCAACTCAGCGCAGTTCACCTCCAAAGGACAAGGCGCATTTGTCGTTCTCATGAGAACCTTACACTAATGGACACCCACTTCTCTTTTTCAGACTCTATGCTATAGTGGTTATGGATTTTACTTTTTGTTTTATAAACTTTACAATATATTGTTATTGCTACTAAACAGTTTATGAGACTTAGGAATACTTTAAATTTTTTCTATTTTTTTCTTTTTATTAGTATGTCTTTGCAATACATAGCAATTCCATTCTCCTGGGAGAACTGGTCTATCATCTATCTATCTATCTAACTCCCATCTTCATCATGTTTACCTCCCCTTCCCCTCCCGCCTTGGCCCTCCTTCATCCCCCACTCCCCTTCCCCTTCTTTGGTTTCTTTCTGTAGATGTAGATTTTTCATCAGGCATAATTTTCTTTCTAGGTGAAAATTCTTAATATTTCTTGAAATGTAAGATCAACTGGTGGTAATTTTTTCTTAACTTTTATATGCCTGTAGCATCTTATTTAGCTTTGGTTTTGAACAGTATATTTTCCAACAGAGAATTCTTGTTTTCTTTCGATAATTTAAAGGAACCACTTCACTAACTTCTGACTTGCACTGTTTCTGGAGAGAAACCCGACGCCATCTCTGTCTCTCTCCCCTGTACGGAACATGTCATTTTTCTGCAGACTTTCTTAGTATTTTCTCATTGCTGCTGGTTTTGAGGAATATGATTAAGATGTGACTTGGTGTCATTTCTCTGTGTTTCTTCTGCAGGAAGAATATCTTTAGACCGTGAGTGTGGGTAGTCCTCAGCAGTATGGATAGTTGGGGCCGTTATTTCTTCAAATGTTCTGCCTCACCCTCTTCAGTGAACATCAGATGGACCATCCAATAGGCCACCTGAGGGCATTCCAAAGATCCTGATGGTGTCTCACTTTTCTTCCTTGGACAGTTGCGATTCTATGCCTTCAAGTTCAATGATCCTTTTTCTTACAATGTGGTATGATGTTCTGTGGATCTCATCCAGGTTAGTTTTTCTCAGGCATTTTCATTTTCATCCTAGAAGCCTAACTTGGGATCCAGTGGTACCGGTTCAGTGTTCTCCTCTGCTCATCTTAACATCAGGGTGAATTCCAGTCGGTTTTGATTGATTGCTTCCCTGTGAGTTACATTTTCTAACTTCTTTTTATGCCTGGTAATCTCTGGATTCCGACATTATGAATTTTATCTAGTTAGATGCTAGACTATTTTCAATTTCTATGAATCTAGAGTACTTTTTTGGGCTGCAGGTAAGTTACTTGGAAGCCACTTAATTCTTTCAGTCCTTCTTTGACTCATCAAAAGGTACATAGCAGTGTTCAAAATAGGGCTAATTATTCTCCACCACTAAGGCCAGAGCTTCTCAAATGCACTCCATAATTTCCTGTTGATCATGGTCTTTTTTTGTTTTTTTTTCAGTTTTGCTTGAATGTACATCCTCTGTTGCTGTGGTACCACGTGGCTGGGGCTCCATACTCTGAGGGACACTGGATGGAGCCCTCTGAGGCTCTCCAGGGGGCTCTTCCTGTAAGCTCTGTCCTCTTGGGTAAGCGATCCTCTGAAATCCGGCTGCCTTAATCAGGCCAGACAGGATATTCACCTGATTTTCTCCCTGTCCACAGCACAAAAATCCTCACAGTAGTAAACTGGGATTCACACACCTCGTCCCCTCGGTCATTGTCTCATTGCTGGGATACAGAACCCAGCACCCTGAACTCCCAGGAGCAGAGGTTCATTTTGGTTCATGACCAGCTGGCTCCACAGCAGAAACAGCAGGGTGGAAGAACCTGAAAGGAGACAGCAGCTCAGCCCAGGGCAACCTGGAAGCAGAGAGAGAAGGGAGGACCCAGGGACAAGAGCACACTCTTCCATGGTACACCCACTGACCACCTCCAACCAGGCCACCTCCTCACAGCACAGTCAGCCAGGAACTTATCCACAGGTGAACCCACCGGTGGGTTCCGCACTCCATGATCACCTTCCTCACACAACAGAGTCTTGAGGGACATTTTAGATCTAAACCACAATGATCGTTCATTACGTTTGTTTCCTGTCTCTCAGGTGTCACTTTCCTTTGCTGCTCAACATCAGTCTCTTGAAAACTGTTGTTTGATGTATTTTGTCCAGTATTTGTGTTTGTTTCTGGAGGGAAGGAAAGGGTAGTGCTTGTTTCTCCACCTTGGCCAAAAGCAGAAGCTAGAACACCGTTTTGAAAGCATGACTGAGTCTCAATCAATATCTTTAAAGTTTGAAGTATCATCTGTCAGGATGCTGCATACACAATAAATCCATGGTCAGCATATCCCAGGCACATGGAATAAAAGGGCCTGGGAATGAAAGGAGAGAAGGAGAGGCAGCTCTGCTTAGCATCATTTTTGGTGACACCTGGGGAATCTGGCTTCCCATCCCTGCAACTCTGGGCCTGCCTGTTTGGAGATGTTGAACATTTCTACCAGGGCACACTGCAAGAGCCTGCTCCAGAGTGACACTGCAGCCCACTCTGTCGTTTTGGGCTCCTTGTACGGAGGGACCAGAATTCGAGAGACATCAGCAGCATCCTGGCAGTGGCAATCAGTCATGGCCTTCTGGAGGAGGCACGGCTGCTCCTCCTACACTGCAGACAGGGAAGAGTCTGCTCATCGGCCACATAATTCAGTGGAGCCGAGCTTGGTGATTGCCTTCCAGCTTCCCTGGTAAACAAACAGAGTAGCCACGAGCTAAGAAGAGCGAGGTAACAGTGGCTCAAGATCTCACAGGGAAGAGGGACTGGGTCGGATGGTTCGGTGATAAGTTGGACTTCAGCAGTGAGAGGAGCAGAGTGAAAAGTGACCACAGGTTTTCCAGCCCAGGCAGCTGGAAGAATGGAGTTGTCATTTCCTCATCCAGAAAGGTATCGACGGGGTAGGTTTCTGAGAGGATCAGTTTAGTTTTGAACATGTTAGCTTCCTAGTAAATTTCAAGTAGGCAGTTATGAGCAGAGAAGTTCAAACAACGTTTGGAAGCTGCTTAAAATCTCTTCACAAAACAAGCAGGAAGTGCACTCCGGGTACTGCCTGGGCTTAGAGCGCTCGGCTCTGCGGGTGGTGTGTAGTGCGCTGTGTTTGGAGGCCAGGACTCATCTCCATGAGGCAGCTGCCCCTGATTTCCAACATCTGCACTCACATTCTCCCTTCACAACCTCTCCCTTTCCCTTCACCTCCTACCACCCTTGACTTTTCAAGGCAATATTGCAAATATTGCAAATATTCTTTCAAGCAAGTATTCTTGCCCATTTTGGGTGTCTAGGAAGCCTGCAGGGATGGCTGTGAGCCAGGGAATTTGTCTAAGAAACAGAACATGGGCTTCCTTGGGCCTGGTGTCATTCAGCACAGAAAGAAGCTTGTTCAGAAAAAAAAAAGCAGCATGAAAAAGGACTGCCCCCATTCTTCCTTCTAAAAATCCTTCTCCTGTTTTCTCTTTTCCAGAATTACTCACCATTCTACAGATCCAGTGCCCTCTCTCAGAGTCTGCTGAACTTCTGGGAGGTTTCTATGCCAATCGTGCCCTGAGATCTTACCCCTGCCACAGACGAGCAGTCCCAGTGCCTGAGTGCGCTTTATGTCCCCGTGCTTTGGACTTTGGACTAGATCGTTTCCAAGGACCTTTCCAACTCCACAATTCTATTAACTACAAAATCATTTAAATGGGTCAAGAAATCTCAATGTTAATTTGAACCAAATGCAGAACGAGTGGGGCCTAGTTTGTATCAAGCTCCAATTCTAATCATTTAAGAAGGGGCTTCGAAACCGGAAGAGCCTTGGTGCGCTTGACCCCAGCAACAATGGACTTCCAGCCTTGGTGAGTAACAGCAACCTGAAGGCTGGCTTACCTACTGCCAGGGAGCCTGTGGAAGGTTTCATTTGTTCATTCTCCTTAAGTGCTTTGACTCAGCAAAGCATAACAGAGAATTAGTACTGGGAGTTATTATTCAGCTTTCTGAGACTGAGTTTCCACCCGAGGTGCAGAAGAGCTTTTGGATTCTCACTGTGAAAGGCAGGCAAGGATGCCAAAATCTTCCTGACTCCTCACAAGAGTTGCCTATTTTAAAACAAGATTAACATTCTATAAATACCAATCAGTGAACCAACTCTTAAAAATAAACTAATTTATTCCAGCAGTGAATGGAAATTATTTTTATTAATATTAAAATTATTCTTCTCCCATGATAATAGCTGTTAATATAATACACTAAGAATAACCTCATGTTTACTTGGTTCATGGGAATTGCTGAGAACTATCAGAAAGAGTCAGTGGGAAGAACCAGGCTAGAAAAAACAAGAAGAGTGCAAAGAAGCTGTTTTGAAAAGGTTAGCTATCCCATGTAGAGTTGTTAAACTATAAAACTGAATAATGCCAAAGAAACCAGAAAACTTGGGGGGCTGGAATAAACACTCAGACTGGCTATCTCAGATGTTAGCTGGATTTTCCAGCAGAATAATTTTTCCACAAAGCTGCTCTCATACCGTTTATTGATGTGCCTTTGAGTTGTTCTTAAAGACATGAGCAGGAAGTAGAAGATAGAGGAGTTGTGTGAGGTAACTACTATTTTAAAAATGTAATCATCAATGCCTTCCATTTTCTGTTTCTGAATTAGAAAAAAATTCAATTTAATTACATTTCTTTATAAATAAATTAAAAAGCCAAGTTCCTAACAAGAAAAAGAGCTTTAAACCAAATGAAAAACTCTTTTGACCATGTGGCTCAACATTTATCTGTCACTTTGTGAATTTCCATTAAAGAAATAGAATGTCATGTTATTAGGAATGCATGCATAGATTATATTTATGTAGGAAGGTGTACATTCGACTGTGAAAATCAAAACAGAAGTAGCAGATGGTCCTGCTCCAGCCCAAGAGACCACTGACTGAGCAGGCTGGGATGAAAACCTTTCTCCAGCTTGAAAATAGAGTATGTGGAATCCCTGCTCCAGTTCTTGTTACTTATCAAGGCAGACAGGAGAGGTGGAATGGACCCTCACTCATTCACGTGACCAAGCAGCATGCAGGGCAGGGGTGCCTGACCACAGCACAGAGCACAGCCATTCAGCAACAGTGACTGTTTCCACCCAAACCTGCATCCCACCTCTGGGCTCAGACCTCTTCCTTCCACGTTTTCTGAAAAATCTTGGGGATTCTCTTCTGAGAAAGCATCCTATTTAAGCTCAAACTTAGACACATGGGGCATTTTTATATTGCAAATATAGTTGACACATCACAAAAGCCACCACTTGAATGCTGCATTTGCAACATAACTATTTGGCATCTTGAGTACAAAGGCATCTGTCAGATTCCATGGGGACCAGCTTGCTAGAGGAGAAGTGGGCTTGAGGGAGAGGCCACCTCCCTTCCCTCCCTTCCCTTCCTTCCTGGAGCATTATTTCACTGAGAGCTTACTCAGCCCCCAGATGAGCACTGTGCTTTCGTGCAGGGTACCCGTCCAGACACGATTTGACTAACCGAGGCAGGAAGCTGACAATGCCTACCTTTGTTTTAGTAGACTCTAGTCAAAATATAAATATTGTGGGGTGGGGGAAACACTAGAGTAACTGATAAATATATTCTGTTCTGTAGAAATGACTCTAAAAAGTCAAAAATCAAAGGGCTGGGGACGCTGCTCCACGCCAACGCCCTCCCTGCATATGGACCTTTAATAAATACTGATGATCGTATGTCGATGAGACCTGTCATGCTCCACCCTGACCCGGTCTCCTTAGAAGGGTCCGGAGCAACAGTTCCCAGGGCGACTTTCCTGCTCTCAGCCGGGAGCTGCCTGTCCTTGCGGGAGGGCTGCCCGCTGCCAGGATGCGTCTTCATCTGCACGCACAGCCAGCCAGAGTGCCAGGGTCCATGTAGCCTCAGGTGCAGCTCCTGAACACTGACGGACTGTGGCAGGGTGACCGTCCGACTCTGTGCCCCTCACCGGGACTCTGAAGTGTGACTTGTGCTGTTTTCTAGGGTCCCCAGGAGACTCCGCTCATTACTCTGTCTTAGTCACTTTTCCGTCCTGAGACACAGAACTGAGAGGAAGAGAACTTTGCTTTGGCTCACGGCCTCAGAAGCCTCCATCCGCGCCTGGCTGCCTCAGACGCACAAAGGACATGGCAGGCAGGGGCACGGAAGATGGAAAATGGTGTCCAGGAAGCAGACACAAAGGGGAGCAGGCACCCCTCAGGCCCCACCCCAGTGAGCTGGCCCCTCCCACCGGGCCCGTCCCCTAACAGTGAGTCAGCCAGGAGCCCCAGGAGCCGCTCAGCTCCCCAAAGCCATGCCTCCAAGTGCGTGAGTTTGGGGGTGACTACCGATCCATGCTGTGACACATTAAATCTCTGCTGCTGTGGCCGGGCCCCCTCCCTTGTCACTTGTCCATCCCTTTGTTGGTTTTTCCTAGAAACAAGTCCTAATAAATCACCTCCACATGGCTCTGCCTTGGGTTCTACTTCTGCCTCGGGTTCTACTTCTCAGAATCCAGTCTGAGACAAACAGGACCACAGGCTCTTCCGACGCAGCCTCCCAGGGTGGGTTTCTGAAATGGATTCGAGGACAAGAAGAGCCCATTGCTGGAGAGGAAGAAGGTGACACAGCCCTTGTGTGCTGCACCATGACATCTGTGAATCGGACCTGGGCATTTGGTCCCCTCGAGATCCACTCCCGTTTCCCCGCTGGGTACTGAACCCTTGACAAGACGAGTCTCCAGGGGAAAGGCCCGGAGGAGCTGTCCTCTGGAGGGTTGTGTCCCCCACAGTTAGTGTATGGAGACCTAGTCCCCAGGGTGACAGTATGGAGGGGAGCACATGCATCTGAGGGAACCAGCTGGCGTTCTTAGTAGGAGCCAGGAGCACGTGGCTCAGGCAGGACATAGGGGTGCAGGGCTTGATGAGGGGTCTGCTCCTACGGAGGCGTCTTTCCTTCCCTGACCCAGGATTATATCGGGTGCCCAGGGCAAAGACACCTGAGCTGGTGCTGATCCAAGGTACGGAAAGTTCCAGGGGGCTGGGGAAATGATGCCCACATGAAATGATATCACCAGTCAGAAGAGCCTGTGTATCAAATCACTGAGCAGTGACCAAAGGGTCAGCACGGGAGAGAAGGCCAGACCCCTCATTCTGATCCTCACCTTTCCACTCAGTGAAGACTGGAAACCAGAAGCAACCTCCTACCCAGAGGGAACAACGGGCCGCACGGCTCTCGGAGACTTAAGGGACACCCGGAGGTGTTTCCCATCGCACACCCTCTCAGGCCTCCCATCTGGCACCCACGGGGCTCACGAGGAGGCAGAGAGGCCAAGGAGTTGCCAAAACGCCAGGCAGTGACTCAGGTTATAGGGACGGAGTTGATGTGACCTGGCAGGCAGGACAAAGACCAGGCGGAACGCAGAGAACCCTCCCGGCATCTCTTGGTCTTTGCCCCGTTTCATCACTGCAGCCCTGTCCAGCCTGGGTTGGGAACACATGGGTCCGCAGAGTGGCCACCAGGGCAGAGGGGAACCCAGACGGCAGGGCAGGAGATGCGTGAAGAGCCCACGTGCAGCAAGAAGCGCCGTCACCTCTCACCTCGTATCTCACATTCTTCCCCTGGAATCCATGACCAGCTCTGTCCTGAGGTGTCAGTGCAGTGAGGCTGCCATGGAGCAGGAGGCCTGTGAGGCCAGACGGGCTGCAGCAGATGCCTGGTGTCCCCCAGGCTCTGAGCCCTGTCACCTTTCCTACATACGGCTCCCATGTGCTCGCCGGCCTGTGCCCAGGTCCTTCAGGCCTCCACCCTAGTTTGAGGGAAGCCACCTGGTCTGCTGGCAGGAGGGCAGAGGACGTGATACCTTCCTGGTTGCAGCCTTCAGTGCACAAAGGGTGGGGATGGGCACACGAATGACCTGCACTCCTCAGCCCTCCTTCATCGCCCAGCTCCTGTTTAAGTGGTGAGACCACCCAGACTCTCTGGGGACTTGATAGGATGTCTTCCCCCTCCAGTCCCAGCTCCACTCTCCCCTGCCCTGTGTTCCTAGGAATACTTCCCAGTAATCACTTTTACACAAACCACCCTATCCGAGTCTGCTTATGAGGAACCAAAATTGAGACACAAACTCCTGAGCCTCAGTGTGGTGGCCAGACTGAGCAGCGTGGCCGGATGTGGCCCTGGAAGTGGCTTCTGAGTGCAGGAATGTGAACAGGTGTAGGCAGTGGTTAGGAGGAGATGGGAGAGTGGCTCTCCCCATGAATATAGAAATCGAGGCACACAAAGAAAGAGGGTGAGTCGTTTGGAATTAACAGAATGTAAATTTAGCACAAACCAGTTTTCAAAAATAATCAACCAATAAAAAAGTGTCAGGAATAAGTCATGTAAAAGTAAAGGCAGGTAGTAAAATATCAGTTGTACTTAAGAGTCCGGTTAATGATTCCAATAGAAAAATTTTCACTGGCTGTTTAAATGTGCAGTATTCAACTTCTCTTTTCCTTTTCCATTAATACACTGGACTGTTAATTCTTCAAGTTAACACTTAATAAAACTCGATTAATAAATAACAGTGAAGTG